TTTTCTGTGATCTGGGTCATTTCATGGAGAGGGGTGCTACATGGGAACAAGATACAGTTAAACTCCAACTGCTGTCAAGGTTGTGATCCTCTGTATCTGTCTTCTCTAATGTGACTTTCACCCGGCAACACTGATCCACAGTCAGATCGATGATTGAAATCACTCAGGGTTAAGACCCCTGTTGGTGAGAGCGGATCCATGTTGTCCACCAGCAGGGGAAGACTTGTCCAATGCTGCCACAGCAGAAGGGAGGTGTCCTCTGTTTGGTTTTATTGAATATAAGTCAACTTGAAAAATGTACCTTATTCAGTGGTTCTGCTAGGGGGGTCTGTGAGAAGTTTCCAGATTCGGTCCATTACAATGATCATGATATAATATTGGTATTCGATTAATGTGAAAAATATTTTACTACAGGTCTAATATCTTTCCAAAAACATTTCTCGTGTTCTTTCACATAATTAAGTAGAAGTGTCAAATTAAAATTAAGGCTTGTTTGTGCTCAGCGTGTGATTTGGAAACGGAGCTTCTGTCTGTACTCTGCGTTTATTTTCATTCGTAGTTGTGCACGTTCTGAATCCTTTCAGACAAAATGTAGCAGTACCACTGGAAATCATGGGGGGGCAGTGCAGCCAATAACTCAAATGATTGGAACAATTTTAACTATGGCGGAACATTTTGACTCATCTCTTTTTGTACGTAAATGCAGCATTACTGAGCCGCACTTATGGGAGAAAAGATTTTAGAACCTATAGAACAGATAATTAATTTTTGTAACATTAAGAAAATATTTTTTTGTCTAAACAAAAGCAGCTTTTAAATTTTTTTTAGCAAACACTATAATCCTGCATATTATTCTTTTCTCAGACAAGAGGAGCAGTTTTTTATCATTTCATGCAATTTTGCAGAAACGTCTCCAACCAATAAACAGGTGGGAAAAGAGGAAAAATGTGGGGTCCTCACCTCTAGTTTATTATTATCCTGTGTCAGTGTATAAAGTGGAGGATTCTGTTGGTTTTAGGGGAGCCTGGGTGTTACCTCACTAACAGAAACAATGGACAAGTGTTTAAATATTGATACAGGCTCTGGAAGAGTCATTTATTTCACTCCCACGTCGGGTCAAGGCCGAACCATCCCTGTGTGTTTGCTCTGCCTCTGTTCTCATGATCTCTGTTTCCCTGTTAACGATCTAATTCTATTTATTCTTGAATGTGGTTTGAAATTCCAGCGTTGTAGCAGCTCAGTACTGTGGGTTACTTACTAAGCAAACTATAAGACAAAAAAGGCACGGAATCATCGAACAGTGTTAGACTACTTTATGATTGCATGGTGTCCTACAATTAATACAGTGAACAGGAAACTGAATTCAAACAGAATCCAAACACAGAGTAAACCAAGAAAACCCCCAAAATGGTGGTTCGCAGAACAAGTGCTTATAATCATAAATCCAGCATATAATAAAAAGGGCCATGCAGAAGCAATAAGCCGACAGCTCTCTGGTTCACACAGTAAGCTTTTAAGTGTAAACTCTTCTCTAATCAAGCGCCCGAGTGTAAATGTTTCTATATTTTTGCAGATTTACTTCATGCACATGAACATAAACTGTGAAAAAACTGTTACTCGAGGAAAGAAGCAGGGACACATTTGGCATCGGAGCTTTTCAGGTTAGACAGAGGCAGAGAAGAAGGAGTGCAGAAGAAGGAAAGTGACACGTTAAGTGAGGATTTCTCCCACAGCGAGTCGAGAACAGACTCAAAAACATGTGACTGACACAAGACCACATGCCTGCACCCACCCACACACACGCCTGCCCTACCAACCACACACACACACACACCCCTCTTTGCTTTCAGTTTCCACACTAGTGAACCAGTAAGCGCACGTGTCAGACAAAAAAGACCAGACGATTAGAACACAAACGACGGCCAGGGTAAGTCATTTGTTTTCAACAAAAGGAGACTGGCACAAGGAGTTGAAGGGGCAAGTGTTAGGGTCCAGGGGTTAGGGAGTCAAGTGAGGAAGGAAGGAGGGGTGAGAGGGTGGATGGGGATCAGGGAGGGGGGAGTTAACCAGGTCTTATTGCATCAGCGTCTCTGAAGTGGGCAGGCCCCCTGGCTGAGGGAGGAAAGTCTCGGAGGTCGGGCTGCTGCTCTCCTGGTCGCTGGGGTCGCCGGGGTCAGTGGTGGACACTGATGGAGTCATTTTAGTCTGAAGCAGAGCAAGGAGAAAGTAAAAACATTTATATAGTTATTAAAGTTAACAAAGTTGCTGTTTTTTCAAAACTGAAATCCACATGTTAAACCGATAAAAGTAGATTCTTGTTTTCATTTACACTGAAATAACTTGAAAAACAAAAATAGAAATATGACACACTGATCATTTCATTAAGTTAATGCTCAAAAAATAAAGAGCAACATCAGATTAAAACACACAACTACACAATTACTACGGGAGTTAGTAACACATTTACTATACGTTTAATGGCAAAGGTCTACACACCTTTGGATCTTAAACAATGAGCGTGAGCTGTAATACTGTTTTTAATCTGTTACCTTCAAAGTCTCCACTTTCCCCTCAAATGACTTGAAAGTTTGTGCATTCCTGTGAAAGGCAAGAAAGAAAAAAAAAAGACGTAAAACCACTTTAATACACTACGTAATATTTTTATTTACCATTGTTGTCTTTATTAGTGCTCTTTACGCCTTCACTACCTCAACTTGTGTTTGTATTGAAGAGCTTTATTTCATTCTTCTTTTGCTTGTATTTATATTTTATTATATAGTGGATTATTCTTTATTACTATATAATATTTGTATATTTCCTTTGCAAATCTTCATAACAGGCACAGTTTGATTTGAGGATGACACTTTCTTAATTTTGACAATGAAGTTCTTAAATCTTGAAAATAAAGAAACTGTTTTATAAACCAAATATTTCATTGGTCAAAAGATCAATCTGGCGACGTGTCAGCAGAATAATTGATAATGAAAATAATTATTTGGAGAAATTAAGAAAATCATTTGTTAGTGAATGGTTGAGAAGCACAAGGACCGTTTCTGAACTTGGGTGTTTTCCAACCTCTGATTAGGATTTTTTCTGAACCTCTGATGAAAACTAAGGTCTGGCTATGTGAGATTAATAAAGCTGCAGCTTCACTGATTAGCTGATAACGTGGCTCTCAGCAGTTGGCACTCTTGGCGTCCTCGACCTGCATTCTCTTTTTCATGCAATGCTTGTTATTGTCCAACATGTAGAAACCAGGGTTTTCTTTTCTACGCATAGAAAACAAGCATTGTGCAGCCATGTGTACTGCACAGTGTTAGGGTTCGTAATCTACCTCCAGTCCCCCCTTACCTCATGACAGGCATACTAGCAGAGTGTTGTAATGAGCGCACGCTATCCGACAGCATTACAGAGAAGAGAGGAGGCGTTAGTGGTGGTCTCAGTGTAGTAGAGACAGTTTCACAAAGACAGAACAAGACACATAGATGCAAACACAACAGAGAACAAACCCTCAATTATTCCACTATACCTTCAAAGAGCAAGTGAATAAATCCTATAAATCCTGTTCTATCCTATTAAGATCAATTGTGTATTAACACAGTGGGTTTGTGCTAATCCTGTCTATTATGGGGGGGTATCTTGTCACCGAACACACGCACACACATACATATGCAAAACAACTGCATTCACATAAGCACACCCTGCCCCTTGGACCCCTGTCAGGTTGCTCATCACTACCAGCACCCCCCACCCCCGTCAAAACTGCCTCTGTGTGGTAGCTCATCCGTGAGGCTGCAATTCTCAGCACACTGCGGCTTTGAAGAGCCTAATAATCTTGTTTGCAGCTCAGTAATCCAGAGAGAAGAAGGATGACAGGGGGAGAAGACAGATTAGGATCCGCTGGGGGAGGGAGGTGGCGGGGTCAACCAAAGCAATATCTCAAATGGAACAATCGGCTGTTGGTTTTTAAGCCTCACTTGACCAGGAAATATTAACAGTGATGTGCCGTCGCATGTTATATGAAATGTTTTTGGTACTTTGAAGCACAATTCCAGGACATCTGGCATCAATTCAGTAGATACGTGGCTGCCAACATACAATATGTGCATTTATTAAAGAGGAGAAGATAAAAGTGAGAGCTGATGGTCGTGACATGTATAAGGACAGGCTTTTAAAAGTCATTTTTTTATTTTCCCAAAAAATAAAAAGGTTTTATAATCCTTTAACTTCAAAGTTGGGCATCTGAGCAAAATAAAATTACTAATATTAAATTGAAGCAGTGAATTACATTCCATCTGTGGCGGTAGCTGATCTGGAGGGGAGGGGCAGGAGGTCGGTTAGTGAGCCCAGTCCCCACACACACACATGCACACACGCACGCACATCACGTCTCCATTACTTCAGAGACTAATTACCACTTGCCAACCCTAACTCTTATCCTCAACTAAACCCAACCTCAAAACAAACACGATTTAATGATTTACGTTAATAGAACACCATGAGGAAGTCCCATAATTTACCATTGTAAACACATTTAGGTCCCCGCAACTTTAGTAATACCTGGACCACACACACACACACACACACAGTAGAAAATCAAATAAAACTACGACTGATGTTGAGTAATACACTGAATAATGTGTAAAACTGGCAACTCCTCGTGTGCTGTGAGAGACGTGGCCGACAGAATCTCTATCTAACACTGTAAGATCCTTTTCTGAGAAATTCCAAAGAAATATTTCACATAACTCGTAAACAACGGATACTTTTCCTTATAAGGACCTGGTGCTTTAACAAAAATAGACAACTTTAAATTGGTTGGTGAATTTATGGACCCCCCCGCACCGATGTCTCCCCTCAGTCTCACCTGACATCCTCAAGTTTCCGGCTAAGGACTGAGCCCACATTGGAGAAAGCTGCCGTGGCCTTCAGACTCGCCTGAGAGAGCGTTTCAGACGTCCTCCTATAGCTGGAATAAAGAAGGGGAGACGGAGATAGGGGGTGGGGGGTGGGCAGGAAAAAGGGAGGATATGAGAGTGATGAAAAGAGACTGAGAGATCAAAGAATGGAGGGAGGCATCAAGGTCAGAACTAAACCTCTGGGACTTTTTCATTTTAAAAAGCCAGAGAGCATCAGAATGCTGCTCATTTCCTGTAACGTACAACGGAAAACAGTTTCACTCAGGCCACAGACGAGCTATCAGCAGCACTGACATCTTCTTTCTCATTGCCCAGATGCGTAGGTGCATTTTTCTCCATGGTGCTGGCAGTACACCATGTTTCCAAGGCATTCAGATACAGATAAAACTCTCATGATCAGACAAGCAGAGAACAATGATGCATATGTTGGTAGATATGGAAGCGGTTCACGGGGATTCTTTTTTTCCCAGCGACATATTCAGATTTAATTACCGGCATAATTAATGATTGTGTATTTTTGATATACTGTGGTGGTCGAGTACGTACGCGTTGGAGGTGGTGACCTCCTGCCAGGTTTTGGTAATGTTCTGTTTCAGCTCATTCAGAGTTGTGATGCCCAGCTTTCTCTTAAGATCTGCCAACTGCCTCTCCTTGGCTGCAAGAACCTGGGACAGAGTCTGGATCTCATCCTCCACCTGGACACACACAGAAATTTGCCATATGTGAACATCAACCACTTTTTTTTCAGTTAAAGGATAAGTCATGGATGTGCACTTTTAACTCTTTTAGTTTGGCCCATGTCCCATTCACTAACATGGGGAGCCAGACACCAGTGGGTAGAGAAGATATTTTGGCTTCACTTTTAGAGAGCAGTCATATCGTCCATCTTCATTTACAATCTATGGAATAAATCTGGTGGTATTTTTTATTTTTCATGACCTGCTTTAACCCAGTGGGCTTAGCCACAGAGATGAGGAACTAAAGGACGGCTTAACACGCTGTAGATTTTGGTGATTTCATGGGATCATAAAAAAAATCAACAAGAAAACAAAGAACATCGACGGACTCATCCTTTAACAAATCTCAGTCAAGGAGATGTTTGATTTGACATCTAACACAAGAGTAATCGTTGGACCAGATATCAGAGGCACAAAGCTCTATGGCTAGGCCTGCTCGAAGTGTACATGACAAGTTACAGCTGGTGTACACACACTGTAGTAATAATTCTATTTCCATTTTCCACCATTTGCATGGACAGCTCTGTTTAAGTACATGACTCTTTGAATCGTGGCCTCTGACCCATCCTGACCTTGACCAACTCTTCCTGCAGCTCCTGTCGCTCCTCCTCTGTCAGGGCGGGTGGAGGAGGGGCGGGCCCCACAGATGTCACTGCATCTTCTCCCACCTCCGGGACCGAGTCCGGGTGCTGCTGGGTACCTGTTAGACAAATAAGCAAAATTAATTTTTATCAAAGCTTCTAAATTGGCATTTCACGTGTAGGACAGTTTTTAAGACATGTTCACACGTGTGAGCCCGTGTTTGCTGTGTGACAGCGAACAGGTGGCAAGTGAGGGGAGGCTGATGTCGGTTGTCAAACTCAAGCTGTTCCAGTGAAGGATGAGGAGAAGAAAGGACGAATAAGTTAAAGCTATCAGAGAGTCGTACAAGAAAAATGAAGGATGCTGTTTGATGATGGGTGGCAGCCAAGAGGGAGAAGCTACTTGCCAAGGATTTTTTTCCACGAAAGTTTTCCACATTTGTTTTTAATTTAGATCGGTGAATTTAAACCTGACTAGAAGCTAGGAGGGGAACAAGTGAAGGTGAAGTAGCTAGCACTCGCCTCACTGCAAGGTTTTGCATGCTCTCCCCGTGTCTGAGTGGACTTTCTCTGGGTGAATGTGAGCGTGAATGGTTGTTTTGTCTTATGTTGGCACTGTGATACACTGGTGACCTGTACAGGGTCTACCTAGGTGCTAGCTGAATGATTTAACTTATTTTTTGCCTCCGTCTGCTTGCTCGAGGTATGTTAGGAAGAGTTGTGACTGTACAGCAGCAGAAAACCCCTCTCTCTCACAGACACAGTCATATTTTCACTCCCCACACATTAACAATATACACACACGCAGCTTTGATGTTGCCGTCTCTGACAGAGCTGTGCCCAGCAGGAGCAGCAGTGCATCAATAATACAGAGAACTTTCTAGATGGAGACGTCCTAGGCTCAGACAGCATGAGAGAACACAGGAGCAGGGGGGTTGTTAGGAGATGTCAGTCAAAAGGACAACAGCGGGTGAGGATGTTTTGAGCCAGAACTGAGCAGGAATCTGGAACCCCGAACCATCTCTGAGGTCGAGTTTCTTTTTATCTAGTCTCCTCTAGTGTTTCGTATAAAAAGAGAAAATCCAAAAGCTGAATAAAACAGTGTGGGGGGGGAGGTAGACAAAAAGAAACTGGTGGGGAATACATTTCTGATGTATACTGTCATCTCAGCAGGAGCCAGAACTATGATGTAAATTGAGAAGAGACAAGATAGACCTGAGAGTAGATTTCATGATAACACAGGATTCGTAAAGGTCATTTTAATTCAGACCCGACTTCCATCATGATACATGCTTGGGGGCACTGTAGGGTTTAAATTAAATAGTTTAATGGACTATTTGTCCATTAGAAAAGAGGCATAACGAGGGGAAACACACATCTATGTTTCACTCAACAAACCCCATATCCTCTCCTCCCACCTCATTCCACACACTTGGCAGCAGTCCTCTCTTTCTTGTCACACAGCAATACTCCCCAAACCCTAAAAATATTTTATCTGAGACAGGACTGGATGTTTGGTGAGGACAGAGATACAAAAGACTTTCTGAAGAGCTACTGGTAGAATAACATTTCTCTGCCTTCCCATTACAGAGTGTTGGCATAAGCTGCTGTGAGACAATACTGGTTTTTGGATTGAATAATACCATGGGAATAAGCAGAGCTGAGTGGATGCACCTCAAGGGGGGAATATTTATTTAATTGTCAAAATACGCTGGGTAAATATATGGAGTGGGAGATCCCACTGGAAATCAGTGACAAACAAGTTTTTCAGAGGAAATAGAGGCAGCCATTACAGTCACTAAGCAAATAGAGAAATACAGAAGAAATAAAGGTGGGGGTGTTGCAGACATTCGATGAGAAGAAATACAAAAGAAATTCTCTTTTCAGGCTGCAGCCCTGAAACCACCTCACTGTTCCTCTGATGTGTTGTACTTCATCTGCCCTCAAGAAGTCCCCCCCCCCTTTCTTGTATTACATTTGCCCTCTCCTCTAGCCATTACTGGTGACACAGCAGTGACACAGCAGTGACACACACACACACACAAACACACGTACACATACACACCTGCCTACAGAGACAGAATTGTGTAATCGACACTTCCTTTTGTAACACTCGTACCTCACAAACAGGATAACTCTCCTCTGCTAAAAGAGCACTATACTCTTATTTTGATGATCTTCTGCTCAGGAACCGTGTTTCTATTTGATTTGCTAACAACACAGTCTAAACCAGTGAACGTCCAGCACCACCTCCGGTTGAGGAGAACAGGTTTTGTAGGTCGACTCCCTGGCTCACTTATCTGCTATGTAAAATTCCTGCAGGCAATGATACGAAAGCTGTGGGTCTGAGTGTGGAGGCAGCTCTGCAGGAGTGTATGTATGCCTTCGAGTTGCATTTCTATCAGTTGGCGCTGGGAGAAAGACTGAGCAAAAAAACAAAAACGAAGAAAGAAGTAGAAAGAGAAGGAGACGTTATATTATATCAAACTGTGTATCCACACGCATCACCGCCCCACCTCTCTGGTTACACCCATTTACTTTGAACGTATTCCGCCCCATGACAACCTCAGCCTGTGTAGATGTCAAATCTATTACAACCAAATAGAAAAGAAAGGTTTCAAAGTGGAGATATTACTGAAACAGACCTGCCAAAACATTGTTAACGCATCATTATCCCTCAGATGTAGCCTAATTATTTGGTAACTTGATTATAGTCTTTACTGTTATACTGTGTCTAGGCCAGTTTTTTATCTAGAAGCAGAAGAAAGAAAAGTGGAACAGACATATTCCTTTTTTCAGTCTGGAAGCAGCTGGAAGTTGTGTGAATACAATCACACTACAGTTGTGGTAATGTGCCTATAATGCTGGCGGCAGCTTTCTTTCTGAAACTGAAACTGTGACCTACGATCAACCAGATTCAGTTTTTTGCACAGATTTTATAGTTAATGATTTTTATAAAATGAAACTGAATCTGCTCAGATGTGTGGTTTATATACGAATTTGAATGATTTTCTTAACTTGTGTTATTTTCTCATACATCTGTTAAGCGACTGACACAATCTTCAAATCCAAGTTCTCAACTCTTCAAAATAAAAGCTTTGCAATTCTGTTCAGTACAAAGCCTTGCGGTAACAAAACGAACATCGTGCTTTTACTTTGATGACAAATTGCTAAAGAGGAAGTGATTCAATAAAAGTTTTTTTCCATGACGCCGTGACATCAGTGATTGTCTGTGTCAGTCAGATATGGTGAAATAAAAATAATCACTCTTTTATATTCAGACAAAATTGGTATTATTATCAAAATATCTGCACCTGAATCAAACAGAACTTGGACCTTGTAAATCAGAATTGTGACAAAACAGCTAAAACATCTGATGAAGCAATAAAGAAAAAATAACTATAGCAAAATAAGTTAAATGTCCTTTTCAAGCATCATCATTTTCTAAATCAATAAAAAAAATCGAGTTAAAAAAATTAATGGAATTGAGTTGCTAATTGACAAAAGTTGCCGGCACACACACTGCAACTAATTATCACTTGTCCCCTCCCCCCTACAGTTTGTGTTCCCCCAAATTCTTCCTGTTCAAACCGACACACACACACACACACACTCACTCACACAAACACACACACACACTCACACACTCCACCCAGCCTCTCCCTCTGCTCCTTGTGATACCTCTGGTTCTGACAGCCGGCGAACTGGGTGGCGTGTCGCCGTAGGTCGGGGAGAGGTAGAGGTACCTGGTGTTGACTCCTTGCTCAAAGTCAAACGGAGAGTGGTATTCCTCCAGAGGCTCCATGTTTACAGCTCGTGTAGAGCGGCAGGTCGGAGTGACTACCACCTCCCTGCGACCACCAATACCTAAGCAAAACAAGCCAAGCGCTGATTGTCTGCATGTGATCCGGGCGCGTGCTGGCCGTCTCTGTGTCTCCTTGTTTACAGCATCCTGGACTCAGACACACACTAGGTTTTGTGTTGTCTCTCAGGTGTTCTGAAGGTCAGAGTGAGAGTACAGTGGAGATGGTTTCCAATGTTCCATCTTTTTTAGGCCAAGGAGCTGTGAACCCTCTGTTTCTGTCCTGCTGATAAGAAGTTACCCGTCTCTTCAGTCAGCTGTTGCAGCAGACACATACTCTTTCTCTGCAAACACACACACACCCTCTTCTTTTCTATTGTTATCCCAAAAAACTGTCCATCCTTCAAACATCCATTTGCGTCCATCCAGTGTGGTTTCCAGATGCTAGCCCCTGTTAGCAGCGCAGTGACATTGCGTGACACTCTATTTTCAATACTCCCAGGTCTCTCTGTCAATTCCCTCCCTCCCTCACTTTCCTGTCATCCAAGGAGGAAATAAAAGCGGTCCCATTTGTGTGGGCTGGTCACGTGATGCAAGTGAGTGTGGTGGAGGGGCATTAGATGAAAAGCATAATCTGCAGTGTCCCAGATTACAGCCAAGCGCTAATCCAGGGCGGCCGGTCCATTTTAGAGCAGCAGTAATGCTAGTAGGCTAGAACGGAGGGGACAGGATGCCAGAGGCTAAACTAGGTATTGTGGAGATGAGGGGCGGTTATCTACAGTATGTGGTGAAGAGAACATGTAGTCATACAACTGTGTGTTCATACGAGAGCATCAGCTAATGATTATATTATGAGTAAAGAGTTGGTATTGGATTTCAACCCTCAACGTTGTGTCAATCACCAACACTGACTTTTGTACTTCGGTTAAATTTTGCAGCGTTTTTCACGTAAGTCAAAAGTGTTCCAGAGGTTTGTGCGATCCAATGGGTCACACAAATTGGTTTCCTTCTTTATAATATGCAATCTCCAGACTTGAAAGTAATCTTCTTATGTTAAATTCAAAACAGAAAATCTGAATATTGGTAAAGGTTTGAAATAATCGTGATATTGATTTAAAGTCATGCCGCCCAGCCCTATGTCATGTTACACTTAAGTTAAGGAGAGATATGAGGAGAGAGGACTGTAAGAATAAGTCATGCACAATCTATAGATAGAAGCATCACTAAAGGCTGCATTATGGCCTGGTGACTTTCCAGCAGTAATCTTCATGACTAGATGCTTTCAAAAAGCTTGATTCAGATGTAAAAAAACAACAA